TCTGTGCAGCAGCAGGTGCTGCAGCCTAGCCTAGCCTGACTCACTCCTGTCCAAGCTCTCATGCTCATCATTGGAAGCAGTAGCCCAGTAAGAGAGTCCCCAAAGTTTCCCTCCCAGGTCCGCTTCCAGTCCTGGGTCTTGTGCATGCTAGCGGTGCTGCCCTATATGTACTTCAGAGGTAGAGCGAAAAATGATATGAACTCTAACAATGAGTGATTCAAATGGTTTTAATTCTCCTGGGTGGATGTGGGATTCTGACTCAGTTCTCCAGTAAAAAAGATATCACATTGGTGCTGACCCAAGTTCCATCAGAAACCCACTAGCAAACTCAATATGGTATATATTCTTATAATGAGATGGACAATGATGTATAGCACGGGAGCCTCATTAACAGAAACCAACAGTTCTTCAGTTCTTCAACAGTTGGTAAAAAGCCAAGGGCTCACTATGCCACAGAATGAGTTATCCTACCAGCAACAGGAGTTTTGTAGGGCTGAGCCATCAAAATATAGCTTAGTCAAGACCTGCCACTGGTCCGTTTCTATGCAAAAAACCAAGTCTTTATCATCCATCCCTAACCTATATGTTCTGGAAATCTCATCCACTGTCATGTTTTCCTCTAGTCTGCTCATACTTCTCTATTCCCAGGTTTCCAAGGAGCAGCACTGACCTGATGTCTTCTTCAAATCCATCCAGGTCCTCAGCAGAACTGGTGGAGCTGGTGGATACAGAAACCAGGAGTGTCTGAACCTCTGTCCTTATGCCCATAGCTGAGAAGCAAGTAACATCCGGCGATGATGCATGGCTAGATAAAGCTACTAGATGCCTGAGTCGGAACATAGGAAGGAGTGTTGGGGACTACAATACACACCAGAGTTTGGGTCTCATGAGAAGCAGGAAATGACTGCTCCTCTTTTGTCTATCTACAGAACCCCCATGTAAGTCAACTCCCTGTAGCATGCTTTGTTGCCCTGGCCAAATCCTCATTTGCAGTGCTGGCATTGTGGCATGGTGGCTTAAGCTTGTACCTGTGATGTCAGAATCCCATATGAATGCCAATTTAAGTTTCTGTACTTTTTAATTTTTTTAAAGATTTATTTATTTTTTATTGCAAAGTCAGATATATGGAGAAGAGGAGAGACAGAGAGGAAAATCTTCTGCCCAATGATTCACTCCCCAAGCGGTCACAATGACCGGAACTGAGCTAATCTGAAGCCAGGAGCCAGTAGCCTCTTCCAGGTCTCCCACATGAGTGTAGGGTCCCAACACTTTGGGCCATCCTTGACTGCTTTTCCTGGTCATGAGCAGGTAGCTGGATGGGAATTAAAACCAATGCCCATATGGGATCCTGGCATGTGCAAGGTGAGGACTTTAGCTGTTGCTGTCAGCCATTGTGGCCATTTGAAGGGGGTGAACCAGTGGATGAAGTCTCTCCCTCTCTATAATTCTGCCTTCCAGACAAATAACATTTTTTTTTTTTACAGTCAGCACTTGGAATACCTGTACCCCATATCAGCATGCCTGGGTTCAAATTCCAGCTGTACTTCTGGTCTAGCTTCCTGCTAATATGTTTTTGAAGGGAACAGTTGATGGCTCAATGGCTTGGTTCCCTAACATACGTTTGGGAGGACAGGATTTAGTTCCAGGTTTCTGGCTTCCACCTGGTTCAGCTGTTGAGGGCTTTTTAAAAATCTCTTTCCAATCAGCGAATTATTAAAAAAATAAAATAAAACTCTCTTACAGAGAAAGCTAGGCCTGTTTTATATTGTCTGAAATTTTCTGTGAAAGTTTTGCAATTTGTCTAAATTTAAATGAATTCCTAAGCAGATAAATGACAAAGAAAACACAGAGGAACTGCCATTTTGCCACCTTTGACTGAAGATGTTTCTAAATGAGGGTTTTACTTGGGGTTAAGAATATTAGGAATGAATTTTTTTCTACCTCTCCCAACGTGGACCTGCATGACTGCAGCCATGAGGGTGGAACACCATAATTTTGAAGTTAAACTACAATGTGTGAAGTGTGCTGTGCCTTGCCCTTGTCCTACTGTCCTTTCAGCTCTTCTCTGGTTTGTGTATGTGCCAGTCTGCCTTGCATATCTCCTGCTAGGGGGTAGAGGCTGAATCTCCAAATTGTGCCTTGGTTTACCATCAACTAGGAAATAGCCACCTTTTTGCCACTGAAAATTATTAGCCCTTGGCAGGAAGACAACATTACCATGTAAAGATGAATAGGAACTTGGCTCAGATGGGGTCCACTGATTGAACTATGACATCAAAACATCTTGAAAGTCCCAGTCTCTATACAATTATGAATTGATTATGGAGACAGCCAGGCTGCTGTCCTTCTGCTGTGGTCTGATGATCAGCATTTCTCTTGTCATTGTGTGAGATATCTGGTCCCCCAAAGGCTCTTCCATTCAGGAAGGCTCAGGGGCAACTGGAAATCTGCAGAGGAAAACTTTGTGGCTGCAAAGGTAGCTGATTTGAAAGAAATTTGGGCATCTCTTGTGAGAGCTGTAAGTCCTGATCTTCCTCCATCTGAATGTTCATTTTGTTATGCTCCCATAGTTCTTGGCGCACACCCCTTCCAATTCCCAATTCCCAATCCCAGCCTACCTACATTTAGAGTATACACTGTACCAAAACAGGGAAACTCCAACAATGTCGCTCACACTGCTGTATCCCCCTTAGCTACAATAGGTGCTCACTAAATACTGGATGGATTCTGCAGACTGAAAGTCTTATTACTGACACTTTTCAGGGAGGCAGGCAGGGTGTGACTGGATGCCTCATTGGCATTCCATCAGCATCAAGATCCTGCGAATCTACATGCTGAGAATTGCACCAGCCTTGTCTGTCAGGAGCCAGCAGCTGCTCTGCAGAAGGGAGATAAGGAAATGACGGGCAGATGGACGGGGGAGGGGCGGAGAGCTCCTGTGAGCTGAGAGCCTATTACAGGAGGAAGGCAGCTGCACTGCTCACTGGCATGACAGAGCCAGGGGTGAGGTGCAAGGTTCTTGGCCCTCAGCAATGCCTTTCCCCCTGAGAACAAGAGGAGCCTGGGAGACGGAGTAAAGGAAGGAGCAAGGCAGGATTCAGCCACGGGAGTGGTCCAGGCACAGCAGCGGAGTCTCCCTGGCCAGAATTGGAATCTGCAAACAAAGGGTCCACAAGCAGCAGGACCAGGGGTGCTTCCAGGCCTTCTGGGGTTGGCAGGCTTTCTAACCAGATTTTTTCCTGATCTTTCTGCTGCTAATCCTACAACTTCTTTGCAGTGGAGGATTGGTGCTTTGTTCTTCTTCATGACTGGGGGCCCGAGTGGCTGGTAGACACCTGTCTTTTCAGTGAAAGAGATCAGAATCCCTCTTGTCATCCACACAGCATTACGCTGAGGCCACAGGACAGCCATGCCCACACGGACCCAACCCTGAGAATCGACAGGGCCAGCAGAGCTCAGCAGTCATGAGGCTATTACCTGGAGAAAGAATTGAATAAGCCTCGACCTTCAAGAAAGGGAGCTTAGAATTTTCTGGAATAAGGCATTTCCCCACCTCAACTGAGTCAACATTTTTTTTCCCTTTGGTTTTATATACACAAGCTGTCATTAGAATCAGGGAATTACATTTTTCTCCAACTATTGATCTTTCCCATTTTTTTTTTTGTTGTCGTCGTCTAAAGGACGTGACCGTGTTATATTTTTTGTCTGTTGGTCCTAAATACACAAGTACCCTAAGTACTGACTGCTTTATGAATGGGAACCAGCAGAGGTTTCTTTCTTTCTTTAATGAGTGTGGACTGGAGTCTGTCAAACCTGAAGCTAAAGGAGGATGGGTCTCTAAGGAACTGGGTGAAGGGTAAGAGATGCAGGGAGCTGCCTGGCAGGAGGGTGGGACCAGCACAGGCAGTGATGCCTGACACCCGCCCCCCCCAAGACAGCCGGTCTTCAGTCGGCTTCCTGACTCCTACGCGATGGGCCCAACAACAACACAAATGGCAGCAGGCACGAGCTCTTACATAAGGTGAATCCCTGCCCCGGATTTTTGAGTCACACCACCCCAAAACGGCATGCCACCTGGATTGAGAAGCTGCACCTGACAGGTCTGCCAAATCTGCCAGATGCTTAGGGAGAAAAGAGAGAGCAGAATTCGAATAATAAACCAGGATTACTGGGCACCCAAAACACGGTGGGAAATGTCCTCCAGACTCGCCCCCGTGTAGGGAACGGACTGCAGGGCAGGGCCCACGTGCACCTGCAGGGGCGCCGTGCAGGAAGCATGCGTCCTTCAAGGAAAGATCCTGGCAGAAATGCAACGAATCTCAAATCTGCCAGCCATGGCTTCTCTCCCTCACTCTGGGGTTGGAGGCTGGCAAGGAGGTGGAAGAGGGCCCGCGTGGATTGCCTAAGTCATTTATCATCTGGGTTTGGGGGAGTAGTTGCAACGGCACCTCCTCTTCCCGCTACCTCCCAACCCGGTTCCTTCCTGGAGGGGATCTGAAGGTCGGAGGGTCCCCTCGGCCAAGCCTGTCCCTTCGCCCCTGCCCAGCTAGCTGCCTTGTCGCACACCCAAGGGGACAGTGCGGGCACCGAGCTGCAGCCTTTTTTCTCCAAGATGCACTGGGGATGTCATCTTAATAAATCGTAAGAGCAGTGGCCCTTAGGATTGAATTTTCAAAATAGAGCACACCTCTGCTGCTTAATATATGTATATATTTTTTTTGCATTTTTCCTTCCCCTCCCCCTTCCCAAATGGCATCAAAATTCTTACAAAGTGAATGAGGAGTCTCACCGGCGCAGCCCGGGGACCGACGGAGGCGGTAGGAAGCCGACGGCCTGAAGGTGGCCGCAGGGGAGCGCGGTCCAGCCCTGGGAAGATGCGGAGCTGATGGACGGGGCGGGGCCTGCCCTGGGAACAGGCGAGTAGCCGGCGCTGCTGGGCGGGACCAAGGGCTGTGGGCAGGGCTGGTCACATGGGCGCTGCCCCAGCTCCGCCCCTCTCTAGTTACAAACGCGGCTGACCGTGTGCGCGCTGGTCTCTCAGTCGGTCCGTGGTGATGGGGTCGTGGGCCAAGTGCAAGAGCTGCCTGACGGCTGGCTTGCTGCAGAACAAGGCGGCCATCGTCACTGGCGGGGGCACGGGCATCGGAAAGGCCATCACCAGGGAGCTCCTGCACCTCGGTACGTGGGCAGGCCATAGCGCCGGGGGGAAGTGCAGCGAGCCCTGGTGGAGACACCAGAGCCGGGACGCACGAACGGCCTCCGAGTGTGGAAGTCCACAGCAGAGGAGGTGCAGATGAGGCGAGCCGGGTGACGGCGCGAGGGCCGGGGAAAGCCAGAGTGTCCTCTGCAGGACTGGGGAAGGGCAGGGAGCGCACAGAAACACTGTGCCCTAGGGAAGCAATAAGACAATCTGTGAAAACATGCTACGGAGTGAACTATGTATACATAACTGGATTAATCTAGTCTATATATTGGCGTAATAGGAGTGGTTAGGAAACACGGGGAGGCTACACTTAACTGAAAATGATTGTAAAGACCTTCAGAGTTCCTCGAATTATCTTCTAAACCAGGACAGAAACCCTAAGGAGGGAAACAGGTGCTTCTACCTCTTGGAAGATGTGAATCCTCTGAGTTTTACAACTCTAGAGTTTGAGGGTTTATGGAGAACGAATGCAAGCTCTAACAGATAAAGAACTCTGGAAACTGTTGGAGCGCAAGTGCAATGATAACAGGTTAAACATTCCAGAGGAAGAACTGCACACAGAGGCAGTCAGGATAAGAGACAATAATCCACTTCGTGGATTACTGAATGCACAATAGAACCGTGGCACCGTGAAGTTCCTAATTAAATTTCAGAACACTTGGAAAAGTGAAAGTGTTGAAAAGGGGTGAGAAGTCTAGGGCCATACCACCGTGAACCCCCCGATCTTGTCTGAAAAGGGAGTGAGACACCCAGGAATAGCAATGATTGTAACCTTTGTGCAGAGCAGTACAGAAAAAAAGACGCACAAGCCTTGATGATGTTGTAATCTAGGGCCTTGTAATTTCCTCTCAGCAATTTTCTCCGTGGAAATGATCAGAGCCAAAGAGAGATGCAAATTCAAGAATGCAGTGCTGCTGGAGTTGTGGAACATTGGAAATAATGTAAATATTCATTATGAGCAAAATAGTAAATTAATAGCAACGAGACATTATGCTGCCCTTTCATTATATTGCTTTTGAAGAGAAAGGCATACATTTAATTATAAAAGATTTTGGAAATGACACTTCTATTGTCATGGAATATGTTTAAGCATTCTATCCTATAATGAAAAATAGACTAGAAGGATGTTTATAACATTGTTAACAATTTTTTTTTGAAAATCATTTTAATTTGGGGTGGCTAGACTTGTTTTCATATTTAAAATCCCTTTTTTAGAAGTCACAGGTAGATTTCCTTAATTGCCATTGTGTGCCAAGTCCTGGCATAGTATGAATTCAAAAACGAAACCAAACATGATGCGCATGTTCCTTGACTTAAAATGAAGTTAATTTTCCATAAACTCAGCATAAATGGAAACGCATCGAATGCCCCTGACCTACTGAACATCCTAATTTGGTCGAGTTTACCTTATGTGTTCTCAGAACAATTGCATTAGCCTGCAGTTGGGTAAAAACATCTAATGTGGAGTCTGTTTTAAAAGACAGTGTTCAATATCTCATGTAATATTGTAGGGAGAAGTGAAAAACTGAAAGTTATGTGAATATGCTTTCACGTCATTCATAAGTCAGACAATTGCTGAGTCATACATTTGGTACAGATTGCATTTGAAAATAACTTAATAGTTACATAATGAGGTGTGGGATATCAACATTTTCCTAATCTGACCCTGGCGTAACCTTATCACTGTCAGTGCCTGTTGCGTTGCTAACACCAATTCTATTCCCTCTGAAGAACATCAGAATCTGTGATCACTTCCTACAAAAGCCAGACACTAGATTTCTGAACAGATTTGTAGCATCCTAGATGAACTTTTCATGGATTTTCAAGTATTTGAACTTTATTCTTGCTTGGTAATTTTGTGGTAGCCAAACACTACTGGCTAGGTTTGCGGTAAGGGGGCTAGCTATTTTACCAGTGCAAACGGAAGTATAAGCACCATGTCTTCCCAGAAAAAGATTGTATATACTTAAAGGATCCAATATGTAATTAGTTTTTAAGATTTATTTATTTATTTAAAAGGCAGAATCAGAGAGAGAGAGAGAGAGAGAGAGAGAGAGTCTTCCCTCCACTGGTTCACTCCCCAAGTGGCCACAATGGCCAGGACTGAGCCCGGCTGTAGTTCAGAGCCAGGAGCTTCTTCCGGGTCTCCCATGTGGGTGTCAGGGACACAGGCACTCTGGTTGTCAGCTGCTGCTTTTCCCAGGCCCCTAGATGGGAGCTGGATTGGAAGTGGAACAGGATTCAAACGGGTGTCTATATGAGATACTAGCGTTGAAGGCAGTGGTCTTATCTGTTATGTCACAATACCAGTCTCCATCATTCTTAATCTTACTAAAAATGAATTTCCTTAGTGAAGGGATATAAAATAATTTTATTATGAATTTTACATCATTTTTTGATGTCAGCATTATTTTAAAAATTGTTACATAAATCCAAATTAAGCAAATAAAATGTTAGACAATATTTAATCCTGCGTAAAGGCTGTTGCTTTTATTTTAATGTGAATTATCATTTGGATTTGGAGGTGTGGCTTATGAAATGGTGATTATTGCTTCGATGTTTCCTTTGGCTTAGAAGACAAGGGAGAGGGCCCGGCACGATAGCATAGTGGTTAAAGTCCTCGTCTTGCACGCGCCAGGATCCTATATGGGCTCCGGTTCTAATCCTGGCAGCCCTGCTTCCCATCCAGTTCCCTGCTTGTGGCCTGGGAAAGCAGTTGAGAATGGCCCAAAGTGTTGGGACCCTACACCCAACACGGAAAAGCTCCTGGCTCCTGGCTTTGGATTGGCTCAGCTCCAGCTGTTGTGGCCACTTGGGGAGTGAACCATCTGACGGAAGATCTTCCTCTCTGTCTCTCCTCCTCTCTGTTTATCCACCTTTCTAATAAAAATAAATAAATCTTTAAAAAAAGAAGAAGAAGACGAGGAGAGCCAGTATTTCCAGGAACGAAATGTAGCAGACAGATTCCGGCCTCCTTGGTCTTGCACATGCTTGTCAGAGGGAGTCCTGATTCTGCCATGGAGTATTCAAAACCATTCAATCTGAATTCAAATCTTATCCTTATCTTCATGTTGTCCATCTCCTTTCTGTTATTCACGAGAGCCTACATTTGGTATTAAAGATAAGAAGGTAGAAAAAGCAAATGGAAATCTTGACACAATATTGAAATATTTCTTTTCTTATTATTATTTATTTCAAAGAGTTGTTAAGAGAGAGAGAGATGAGATGGTATCTTCTCTTCACTGGTTCATTCCCTTTATGGCCCCGGTGGTCAGAGCTGGAATCAGGAACTTATTCTGAGTCTCCCAAGTAGAGGGGACAGGGGCCCTAAGCCACCTTCCACTGCTTTTCCCAGGCCATTAGCAGGAAGTTGGATTGGAAGTCAGAAGCGAAGCTATTGGGACTTGAACTAACGCCCAAAAGGGATGCTGGCATTGCAGATGGTAGCTTTATCTGACACACCACAGTGCCATCTCGTTTGCTTTTTGTTGGAGAGACAGAGATTTTATATCTTTGGTTGACTTCCCCAAGACCTGTGTTTTATACAGAATTGCTTCATTGTTTTCTGTAATACTTTTGCACCATAAGTCAGGTTTGCACGCAGTGAAAAGCTCTAGCCATTAAGATAGATAGCTCCAGGCCCGGTGTAGTAGCCTAGTAGCTAAAGTCCTCACCTCTCATGTGGTGGGATTTTAGGTGGTCACCAGTTCATATCCTGCCTGCTCTGCTTCCCATTCAGCTTCCTGCTTGTAAGATATTGTTCAAGAGCATCTTACTGTACTGTGCAGCAGGTAGTTCACAGTCTAGAGTGAACACAATGTAGGCTAAAGATCGAGCTGTTTAACTCTGCTTTATAAAACTTATTCCATGCATGTGTACTGAACCATGGCTGTGTGCTTGCATAACAGATCCAGCAATGACAAGGCACCTACTCTCCAGGGGGGTGACCAAAGGCTGTTATTATGAAATAGTGAAGACCAATATGCTGCTTTATAGTGAGGTCAGAGCTATGGTTGTGTTGGCGGAGCAGTGATCCTGCAGGAGTGAGAGGAGTTAGCAATACTTCCCAGAGGTCGCATCTACTTCCTGTTCTTTGCTTGGAGGCAGCCATAGCAAGCATTTCTGCTTTGTATGGTGATGCTACATTTTACATATATATGGATCCCAAAGTTAGGCAATACAGGATATAACATGTAAGGCGATGCATATGTCAGTTAGCTTGATTTGATAATTCTGCAGCAAATATTGTACCAAAAGACAAACATTGTGCCCTATAAACATATACAGTTGTCAATTAAAAATGAAAAATTTGAAGCAATAAAGCTATTTTAGTATATTATAAATTGTGAAAAATACTAAAGATTTATTTTTATTATTTTTCTTATTGGAAAGGCGGATATGCAGAGAGGAGAGACAGAGAGGAAGATCTTCCGTCCGATGATTCACTCCCCAAGTGAGCGCAACGGCGAAAAATATTGAGAATTAAAATGAATCACTACTAGATGAAAATATTAACAAAAGGAGCTTGAATAGTGCTGGCCAAGGAGTAAGCATTTAGCCTGTGGTTTAAGGTGCCCAGTTCCCAGAATGGAATGCTGAGGTTTGGTTCCTGGCTACAGTTCGTGAACCCAGCTCCCCATCAGTGTAGGCCTTGGAAGGCAGAGATGACTCAAGTGATCGGCTTTCTGCCGCCCACATGGCAGACCTGGATTACCTTCATGGGCTCTGGTTCTGGCCCTGACCCACAACCCCAGCTACTGTGAGCATTTGTGGAGTAAATCAGTGAATGGGATTGCTACTTCAAATACATTTTTCAAACAGTGCTTCTCTCTTCACATTGGATACTGTATGATATGGAGCAAAATCTTCTTTGATTCCTTGTAAAAATTGTAATGTTCCTGTCTACATTTGTAATGTCTTACAACATTTTATCCTTTGCACGATGAATATCAAAACATCTCTATGAGTTCCTTTATGTAGGAGGGCTTTGTTTTTAGTGCATGTAGGTCTTCTAGGACATGTTCATCTTATTTATCTTATTTGTCATAACCACTTTCCTCACTTATGTTGATATGTTTCCCTTATTGAAGTCTTCTGGCTGCAAAGCTGTAGCCTCTAGAATGTGACCAGGTCAACACGTCCATTCCTCTTGTAGCTCCACTGCTACCCTGTTCTAATTTCACTTCTAGCGTTGCCGCTTTCCATTTCTTTGTTCTTTCATCTTTACTGGCCGGTCTCTTTACTGATCATTCTTTCTTATAAAACATTATAAGAGTCTATCATTTTTAGTCATGGAGGCAACACAGTTACACTCTTCCTGATGCCTCTCTGAACTCAAGAAAAGTTGCACCCCATGACTGCAAGACATTGAAAGAAGTACCAAGTTAGTCACTGATCATGATGTGCACCTGCTGTTTACCTGTTGCTATGCAAACTGATTATGTAGCTAGTAGGACAGTTTGTATTTTATATCATTACTGATAGCTAATATTCCTTGGTAACGGAAATTCAAAGTATGTTCTTGGATAACTGGTCTTACCTAAGTCACAAAGGCAACTGGAATTAGTGTGAAACTGGTGCTGAGAAAAACAAAAACTGCCCCTGCTTCACTCTACTCTTCCTGACCATCATGCTGTTATAATAAAGGGGGAAGAACTTCATTTCTACCCATGCTTTACATCCTACAGTACTTCATATAATTTTTTGCCTTACACAAATATCACTGCTTTTTAATAGGTCTGAATAGAATAAAGACCTTTCCTATTTAGCCACATAACTGCCATTTCTACTTCTGTTTCTGCTTTTATAGAGATTTTGATTTTCCTCTGATATCATTTTCCTTCAGCTTGTAAAACTTTCTTGAATTTTCCTTTGTGCTGTAAAGCTGCTCTGTTGAAGGCGGCCAGCTTTCATGTGTATGAAAAAAGTCATGTTGCCATCACTTTGGAAAGATACATTTACCAGGTAAAGATTTCTAGGTTAGTAATCTTCCTGATTTAAAAAAATTTTTTTTAGTCCTTTAAAGATAATGTTATTATGATGTCTTCTGGCTTGAATTTTCCTTAAAGAGGTCTTCATCTTTTTGTTTTCGTTTTGTACCAGGTCTGTTGGTTTTCTCAGGTTGTTTTTGAGAATGTTCTTGTCAGCATCACTGGCTTATTTAATGAAATCATCAGAGTCTGTCTTTATTCCTAGACTTTTCTCCCTGTTGTGGGTTGTTATTTTCCTGGTCTTTTACATGGCCTAGCAATTGTTTTGGATGGCAGACTTTGACTCCTACCTTATTGAGTGTTGATTATTTATATTCTTGTAAATATTCTTGAGTGTTATCATGGGGTCCATGTAGGCTACTTGAAAACAGTTCAACTTTCAAAGAGGTTTGCTTTTCGCTTTAATGATCTGAGCAGATTGGCCTGTTGTCTCACTGTTGTCTACTGTGAAATATGTTTCCTGGCAGGTACACTAACCATCGCCAGTAAGATTTGTTCTCTCTGCTTGTTTCAGAGAGTTTACCCAATCTGGTTATATATTCTCATGCACTAATCAGTACTTACTTGGAGACTCACGGGGGACTCTGGCTCTTGCTCTGTATCTCTGTTGTTGGTAACGGCCCACCCTGGGCTCCTGGGTCTCCCAACTTCATCTCCTCCACCCGGAGAGACATCTACATTCCTGTCATTTGGAAGTGAGCTGCACCGATTGAGGATATCAATTAGTTTGTGTTGACCTTCGCTTGGGACAAGTCCAATGTTACTTCATGTCCAGTACACCAAATCATTATTTCACACACTTTGGTCCAGATTTTTAATTGTTTGGAGCTGGAGGGTAAATTTGGTTGTTATATTCCATCCTGTCCAGAAACACACATCCTAATTGAACTTTGTTAACAGGAACTTGTAAAATGTCTTCTCACCGTTATTAACTTTTGACATCGGGAGGACTCTGTGTATTTACTTGTTATTTGGCTGCTTTCTCCTCAGGCTGCAATGTGGTCATTGCCTCCCGGAAGTTGGAGAGATTACAGGCTGCTGCGGAAGAACTGAGGGCTGAGTTACCCGACAGCAGCCAGGCTCAAGTCACTCCCATACAGTGCAACATCCGGAAAGAAGAGGAGGTGATGAACTATGCCATTGTTTATTTACTCCTTTTAATGTTCTGTTGTGATTCTTAAACCTGGCTGAGCTCAGGCTCCCCCGAGGTGCTGGTTTAGGGCGAGAGTCTCTCAAAGGCATCCTTGTACTCGGGATTTGCTGAGCCAGTGACCTCAGGAGGAGGACAGGGGAGAAAACTATGTAAGGAAACTAAGCAAGGATGTTACCTGGAGATAACCTTTTGCCTTTTAGGTCATTTCTTGGCGTTCATCTCAACCTGATGGTATTTTTTGGGGCTGAGAGCTTAAAAAATAACATGATTACCCTGCTAAGATTCCAGGCCAAAAGAGATACCTTGTCATTAAAATTACAATTTTATCTTTGTGAACTGTGAGTATTAAGTCATTCACGTAGGGTTTTTAGATTGTCTCCATTGCTGCCTTTGTGTTCATTCATTCCTTGTGTTACTCGGGTTTATGGTTCACTGTAAGAAATGGGAGCTCTCTCATAGAAAGTGTCCCACTGGCATGCATTTGGCTTGGGTTGGGGGCAGACCAGGCTGAATCTGTTCATGTCATCCACTGGTGAATCTGACCGCCAGAACAGAGTGTGGGTCGAACCAGGTCCGGTCGTAACAAAAGTAACACGCAGGCTGGAATGCCAAGGTGAGGTAGCCTGAGCCGGATGCAGCCGCAGCACCCAACCACCACAAGTGAGAACCAGGAAAGGAGGCGGCAGAGCTGACAGGAGAAAAAGGGGAGGCTCCATAGCTGAACAGCAAGTTACACTGAGGAGCGGGAGCTGGGTGGGGGGTAGACTAGACCAGGCAGGGACACAGCGCCTGTGCACCTCATGGGGACCAGATTGGGTGAAAACCAGGCTAAGCTGACCAATCCCATTGGAGTAAGCTACAACCAGAGTTGGTGAGGGTTGTTGGGCTTAGTTGTAGCAACAGAAGGGTACTGGGGACAGACTAGGTTAGTACGCCATATATACTGGCAAGCCAGGGTAGGAGGTGGGCCTGGTTGAGGCTACTGTGGGCCGCCCTGACTGGGCTGCAACTCCTACTAGTTCGTGCGAGGGACAAATGCGTCCAGGGTGGAACCAGGCGGGACTGTAAGAAGACACGGGTGGAGACAGAACCGGCCCAGCAACTGCAGCCGCCAACTGTCCGGGGCAGTGGACTGTGACGGGCCCTATGCTACTAAAACAGCAGGAATCTGGACTGGGAATACCTCAAAATCTCTTCGAGGATCTTCCCATTCAAGACACCGGACTCGGAGTCCTAACCAGGGAAAGACAGGACAAATCAAGCAACAACCACAGACATCCGTTGGCAGCAGAGACTGGGCAAATGGAGACCCTAGACGGGACTGTATCAATCAACGAACTCTTCAACGACCACATCATGATTGGGGTGGCGAGACTGGCAACGACCCATGAATAGTGAACTATTGGAACCACTTGATCGAGTATCTCGGAGCGCACCCCACTCCAGGGACTTGGGGCGGGCGGGAGATTGGGTGGGGCTTCTTCCTCTATATCCCCCTTTAGACCTTGACCCTTTTTTACCTCAATTAAATTTGTAAGGATTGTCAAAATTAAAAAAAAAAAAAAAAAAAAAAAAAAAAAAAAAAAAGAAATGGGAGCTCTCTTCGGCTTCTAGAGCAAGCTATCCCTCCAGGCAGAAAGTTACATTATTCAACTTTTATGTCTATTTTTCTTTAGGTAAAAAATTTGGTCAAATCTACCATAGATATTTACGGTAAGATTGATTTCTTGGTCAACAATGGAGGAGGTCAGTTCCTGTCTCCTGCCGAGGACATCACGTCAAAGGGTTGGCATGCCGTGATTGAAACCAACCTGACAGGCACCTTCTACATGTGCAAAGCAGGCAAGTGTCTGCATTGTCCACAGCGGTCCCTCTATGGGTAGAGATCACAGAGTTTCTCCAAAGAGAAACTGCTAGGACCTGCAGTCTGAGAACACTAACAGTTACATCTATACGGCTTTGAGATGCTGATGGGTACATTTCTAGACAGTTATCTGGCAATATTTTAAAATGCTAGCATTCTTTGACCTTCTGGTTTTATTTCTAGCACTTTATTTTTTTCCCATTTTTTTAATTGTTATTATTTCATGATACAGTTTTATAGGCTCTGGGATTTCCCTTAACCCCAAACCCACACGCACTGATTACCCCTGTATTATTACTAAAGTATAGTTCTTCATAAGCAGTCATAAGTCCATCATTGCAGGCATGGACAATGGCAGAGAGTCCAGCATTCTATTGCCAAGATATAGTAAACAGTTTCATTGGAAGTCCATCTTTGTCTGGAAGTAGAGGTGCATACTGCATTGTATCCTCACATCTGGATATGATAGTCTCCATTACACAGTTACTATACATCCCCTTAAATGAAAAGTCACAAAACAAAATCAACGACAGGAAAAAAAAAATAGAAATTTACAATGCTACTGAATGACTAACATGTTGCCGAAGAAATGAAAAAGAAAATCAGGACCCTTCTTAAAGAAAATGATGCTAATGTATGACCTATGAGTCAATGAATAATTTAATATGAGTAAAAAGGCTTTGAAGAAATGAAACTAAAAATCAAAACATCAAAATCCATGAGAGATTGTTTCTGCTGATCTTTGTTGCTCAGATATGTCTTCTGTAGTCAACAAATAAATGGGTTTTGTTTTTTTAGTTCTGTCTGCTAACCAATAATGTTTGATTGATGAGCTAAGCCATTTACATTCAGGGTTAATATGAATAGGTGGTAATTTGGTCCTGTCCTTTTAGAAATGGGTTATTTGTTGTTTGATTTAGTCTTCTGTTGTTATTTTACTGGGATTTCACATTTGCCTCTGGTTTTGGTGGGTGCTATTACTTTTCTCTGTCAAGAGAACATCTTGAAGTATCATTTTTAGGCAGGTTTGGAAGAGGCATATTCCTTTAACTTTTCTTGACTGTGGAAGAATTTTACTTCATTTTCAAAGACAAAAGAAAGCTTTCCTGGGTATGTTATTCTGGGCCAATAATTTTTTGCTTTTAGAATCTGGAATATGTGACTCCGTTCTCTTCTTGCCTGTAGAGTTTCCTGTGAGAAGCCTCCTGTGAATTTAATTGGCATTCCTTTATATGTCAATTGATTTTTTTCCATGTATACATTTAAGGATCTTTTTCTTGTGTTCAATTTAAGAGAGCTTGATGATCATGTGTTGTGGAAGATCACTATTGATCAACCCTGTTGGGAATTCTGTGCCCCTCCTACGTGTTGTTTCCCAATTCTTTTCCAGATTAAGAGAATTTTCCTTTATTATTTCATTGAATACATTTGTAAACCCAGCTTGTCTTTCTGCACCTTCTGGAACTCCTCATAAGCTTTTATATTTGAACTTTTAATAGTGTCCTTTAATTCTTGAATGCTTTTTTTTTTTTTTTACTTAACTCAGCTCTGCTTCCAGTTTTTTGATTGTTTCTTCCGGTGACAGAAAATGTCTTCCAATTTTGAGATTCTTTCTTCTGTCTCATTCATCTTATTGAGATTTTGCACTGAATTTTTAATTTGCTCTGCTGTGTCTTTCGTTTTCCAATAATTTGGCTTGATTTTGTTTCAGTGTTGCTATTTCCTGTGTGACATATTTAAATTCCTTGAACGCCTGCTTTACTGGCTTCTCGTTGTTAATAAGAAGCTTTATAATGAGTTTTCTGAATTCTGTATCTCCCTTTTTCTTGATGTATTCCTCAGTTAACTTTCAGTGTTGGCAAAGGGTTTTGCTCCTTTGCAGGGGCGTCTTCAGCAATATTCATTGTGCCTTTGTCTCTTCTTCTGCTCTTGGTCAGTGTACTTCTAGTTATCAGATTCTTCTGCCGGTTCAGTTTTCTAAGCTGTGTCACCCACAGGTCTACAGTTCGATTTTACTTACTGTGATTGGTAAATGGTTCTTTGTTTGCAGTCACTTGTACCACTCCCGCGAGTTTCAGGATTTGGATCTTGTGTTAGACTTCCACCACAGTCTCCATAGCCCCAGCTGCTTGCTTATCAGTCTCCATCTCCTGTGATACCATGCTGTGGCTACACCATTGTCTATATGCCTTTCTCCCTTTTCCAATTCGAGCAGTCCCGGGACTAGGTAGATACCAGGTGTCCTAAATAACTAGGTTATTGATGGTGCTGATCTTTCCAGAACTTGTTAACCATTAGTTCTAAGAGCTACCCAGACTTATTTTGACCTGTAGGATGCTAAAGGCGGTATTTCCTGTTGGACCAGTTTAATGCACTGAGCTGTTAGTAAGTTTGCTTCTAGCTCCTTGCATGCACAGCTCCCTATTGTCCTTCCAGTCCTAGAGCCTCTGCCACACTCTACAAAATGGTGCCTGATGTGCCACTGGTGGAGTTCTGTATCTGCTGGCAGTTAGATTTTGGGGCTACCCAGACCTATTTTGGGTGGAAGTTGTAGGATGCCACATTGGTGCAATGCATTGAGCCGGAAATGAATTTGCTCCCCGCTGAGTGCATACATAGTTCTGTCCCATAGCCTTTGCCTCCCTTCACAACCCTGTGAGGCTCTGGTGGGGAGCTGGACAGTGTAATTCACCCTGTTCTTGCATCGCCTGTTTGGGATCTGCTGCTCTGTCTCTGCTCTGTCTCTGCTCCTGGTCAAATCAAACAAGTCAGCAGGACAGACAGTTCTTTACCTGGGTTTACCTGCTGAGCTCCCAGTGTACTCTCCTTGCCACCTAGCTGCTGGTAGAGTACTGGCTGCTGGTGGAGCTCGGATCGCCACTCGCTGTCTGCCACTGCAGTATCTGGTCACTGCAACACCACACCATTGTCTCCATTGCTTTCCCATGCCCATCAGTCTCCAGGTGTCCCTCTGCTGTTGGCCTGTCCTCTCCTATTCCCTTGAATGTGATCTCTCTGCTTCACTCTGGCTAATGATTCTTCATCTGTTTAAATGTGTCTTTACCCTATCCTGCCGTCTTGATTCCTCTCATTTCTAGGACGTTATAATGAGAACATTTTTAATGACTCAGGCAAAGATTATACAAAGTTTGTCACAGAACTAGAAGACACAATCAGACTTTGTTATAAGGGAAGGGGCCCATTAAATCTATCAGAAGCAATGCATTGATTCATTCTTCTGGGAGAATACCAAAGTTAGTGTTTGTGTACTTTCTGAAAACCTCTTGGCATCCATGGATAGCTTTGGTATTAAAGGTTATATTCCATGGGTGGTTAATATTAAACTCCTGAAGTTGTGTTGTGCCAGGGTTTTCTTACACACCTTCCAAGATTTTCTTCTGTTAGAAAAGGCAGGACATGCAACTCTGACCTGAAGATTCTTTACCCCACATGGAGTAGTCTTTATTTTCTTACCATCTGTCAGGCAAAAATCTTGCTCACATTCCCAAGCTTCATTTTTCCTTTTAGGTTAAAAAATATGTATGTAGCATTCTGAGTAAATTATGATACAGTGTTGACTGCTCCAGGTAAGAAAATAAATAAATAAATAAATAAAACTTATCTCTGTCACTGAAAGTCCAGGTTAGTAGTCTAGAGGTGGTACAATTGTCTCATGAATATTAGTAATTGAGTTTCTTATCACTCCACTCTTCTTGATTTGTTGCTTTCACTTTTGATTTAAGCAGACTTATTTGGTTCATGCCCTCATATCTGCATTGCAGAAAGCAGGAATGGGGAAGAGTGTTGACAGTCATCCACTTCTTACAGGGGCACCATCTGGAAGCAGTGCTATTATGTTTACTCATGTTTATGTTAGAAGTCAGTTGAATGATCCTTCTTGACTGTGAGTGAAATAGAGTCTTCAAGGGAACAGCTATGATCCCAGCTACAACTTCTACTTGCATGCATAAAGGGAAGAATGAGTTTTGGCGAATAGCTAGTATTGTTTAACCAAAATGTCATAGCTCAAGGCTTTTACTCATTGATAACTATGTAAGTAGTCTTACCAATTCAAGGTTCATTGCTAACAACTGTAATTAAAGTTGAGCAGATTCTGGAGAGATGGCGAGGTGGAGAGCCTCCATCTGTTTGCTCACTCCCTAAATGCCTGAATGGTGCTGGTTTGAGTCCTAGCTACTCCACTTCCAATCCAGCTCCCTGCTAACGCACTTGGGAAAGCAGTGGAGGATTGCTCAGGTGCTCAAGAGTCCATGTGGAAGATCTGGATGATGCTTTTGGCAACTGGCTTTTGTCTGGCCTAAGCCTGGGTGTTTCAGCCATTTGGGGAGTAAACCTCCGTTGGGAAGATCTATGAACTCTGCCTTACAAATAAATAAAATGTATTTTTAAAAAAAGAAACAGAATTTAAATAATGTGGAAACATTGAATGTGTATGGGTTATAAGTTCCAGTATTATCAATACTGGAATACTTATCAAGATATAATTTCTCCCAAGTTGATTTACAAATTCAATGACATTCCTAAAAATGTTGGCAGAGATGACAAGAAGCTCCTAAAAAACACACAGAAATGCAGAGGATCTGGAATTGCCAAAATGGTTTTGCAAAAGAAGAATGTTGCAGGACTAATACTTCCTTGATTTTAAGACTGTGTGGTACTGGTACAAGGATAGATGTACACACCAGCATTGTTGGGAAAATACAAATCGCAATCCCAGTGTGATGCCACTACAAATCCACTGGCTTCACTGTAACCAGAAAGTCAGTTATCCGGAAATGAGGCCTTGCAATGTATTTCCAATAAGGATGGAAACCAGTGGAGCCACTTTTGAAAGCTCCTTTTTTAAGAAGTTAGCCCTAGGAGTAGGCATTTGGTGTGGCAGTTATGATGCTTCATTAGGATGTGCACAGACGATATCACAGCACTTGCATCACAGCTCCTGTTTTGAGTTTGGCTTCTCCACTATCAATCAAGCTTCCTGACAATTGTACCCTTGGAGGAAGCAAATGATGGCTAAGACATTTGGGTCCCTGCTGCCCACCTGGGAGCCTTGATTGAGGTCCAGACTTCAGCATGGTCCAACCTGCCTGCTGTAGATATTTAAAAAGTGAACCAGTTGTAGGGAAATCTCTCTCAGTGTCTCTGTGCCTTTCATATAAAATACGAGATTAAAAAAAATAGACAGCTAAACATATGGTTACTATATAATCTAGCTGTTTCATATATAGGTGTCTTATGTGTCTAAGAAAATCACCAATGTTCTAAGAATTGTATTCATCATCATTCCAAAGTGTTACTAATCCAAAATGTTTATCAGCTGATGAATGGCTAAGCAGAATGTGGTCTAACCATGTAATGGAATACTACTCAGCAGTAAAAGGAGCCAATGAATGTCAAGATGAATGAACCTCCAAGTGCAAGAATCAGAAACAAAGACCGTGCTAAGATACGAGAGTGATTTGTGCCCAATATTCATGAAAGATTTTAATCCCCAAAGTCACATGGTAATACTGGTAATGAAAAGGAAGAAATTTACCCCAACCCTGGAGTTTAGAGATGGGCTGTTGGGAAGTGATAAGATTGAATTACATCATGATTGAATACTGCTGAGGCTAGACAGAGAATGACAGGGACTACATAGATCTAGAAAGACACATAGGTTCTCTGTGTCTTTTTATGTGATCCCCTGGCTATGGTGAACTTCTGGCAGTAAGAAGGCCCTGGACCTTGTAGCTTGAACTGTGAACTAAAACAAACCTTCTGTTACAAAACATTTATCCAGCTTCAAGCAATTCCTCATGGCAATAACAAGCTGATGCAACCACATTATACATGATTCACAGTTTATGGAATGTTCAGAAAGGGCAAAAGTGCATCAAGAAAAATGAATGTTTTCCTCATCTTCAAATGTGTATGGAAGTATGAGGGTGAGGATGAAAATGTTGCAAAACTGGATTGTAGAGATGACTGCCCAACTCCATGTATTTATTAAAAATGATTCAATTAGGGAGAATCAAGGTGGTGGAATAGGGTAAGGACACGTTTAAATGGACAGAGAAACATTCAATCAGGATGAAGCAGAGAGGACACATTCCAGAAAATAGGAGAGGACATAACAACAGCAGAGGGTTATCTGGAGACTGACAGACGCAGGAAAGCAGTGAATACAACAGTGTGGTGTTGCAGTGACTGATACTCCAGCGGCATTCAGCTAACAGCCATCTGAACTCCACCAGCAGCTGGAACTTCACCAGCAACCAGGTGGGAAAGGACTTTCACTGGGAGCTTGGGCAGTGAACCCAGACAAAGAACTGTCCATCCTGCTGGTCCATTTGATTTAACCAGGAGCAGAGACAGAGCAGCAGATCTCAGATGGGCAGTGCAAGAACAGGGTGGATTTCAACAGCCCAGTCAGTCTCCTAGAGCCGAATTGGGCACCATTTTGTGTAAGGAGGCAAAGGCAAGGGAAAGGACTGAGCATACGCTGAGCTAAGAGTGAACTAATTTCTGACTCAGTGAACTGCAGCAACGTGGCATTCTACAGGCTCCATCCAGGGCAGATCTGGGAAGCCTCCAGACATGACGGCCAGCAGGTCAAGAAATCTAGTAGTGGTACATCAGGCGCCATCTTGTACACTGTTGCAATAGCTTTAGGACTGCAGCGGACAACAGTGAACTGTGCATGTGCTCCTGAGAACTCACTGAGTTCACTGGATTGCACTGCTCCTGCAGGAAAATAATACCGACTGTGGCATCGTACCAGTCAAAATAGGTCCGTGTGGCACCCAGACCTAACGTCCAATAGGTTCTGACAAGATCAGTGCCACCAACAACCTAGCTATAAAGGACACCTGGTGTCTCCCTAATCCTGGGACCTGCTCAAAACAAAAGTGGGAGAAAGGTTGCAGAGAAAACAGTGCAGCCTCAGCACAGTATCACAGGAGGTGGAGATTGGTGAGCCAGGAGTTGTGACTACGGAGTTCTTGGTGGAAATCTAACATAAGAACCCAGTCTTGGAACTCACTGGAGGTAGTGGCACAATTGGCTGCAAGCAAAGAGTTGTGTACCAACTGCAACAAGTAAAATCACATTGTAGACCTGTGAGTGACACACCTTAGAAACCTACCCCAAGGAGAAGACTCTGCTAACCAGAAGTACAATGACCAAGAGCAAAAGAAGAGACAGAGCCACAATGAATATTACCGAAAACTCCCCTGCAAAGGAGCAAAACCCTTTGCCAACCTCAGAGTTAACTGAGGAAGACATCGAGAAAATTGGGCACACAGAATTCAGAAAGATCATTTTAAAGCTTCTAATCAACAATGAGAACACGTAGGAGTTCAAAGAATTTAATTTAAGGAAGCAATAAAGCAAATCAAGGCTGATATATCCGAAATTAAGAACACAGTAGAGCAAATTAAAAGTACAGCGGAGCATCTCCAAAGTAGAATGAAGCAAGCAGAATTTCAGAATTGGAAGGTATCTCCTGTCATCAGGGGAAGCAAACAAAAAGCTGGATGCAGAGCTGGATCAGGCCAAAAAAGCATTCAAGAATTGAAAGACACTATCAAGAGGCCAAATATAAGAGTTATGGGAATCCCAGAAGGTGCAGAAAGAGAAGCTGAGTTTAAGTCTGTATTCAATGAAATAATCAAGGAGAATTTCCCTAATCTGGAGAAAGAATTGGGAAACAAGATCCAGGAGCGACACAGAACTCCCAATAGGCCTGATCAAAAGCAATCTTCACCAAGACACATGATCATCAAGCTCTCTTCAATTGAATATAAGGAAAAGGTCCTTAAATGTGCATGTGAAAAAAAAATCAATTGACATATAAAGGAATGCCAATTAAACTCACAGGAGATCTCTCACAGGAAACTACAGGCAAGAAGAGAATGGAGTCACATATTCCAGATTCTAAAAGCAAAAAATTGTTGGCCCAGGATAACATATATAGCAGAGCTTTCTTTTGTCTTTGAAAATGAAATAAAATTCTTCCACAGTCAAGAAAGGCTAAAAGAATTTGCCTCTTCCAAACCTGCCCTACAAATGATACTTCAAGATGTTCTCTTGACAGAGAAGAGGAATAGCACCTACCAAAACCAGAGGCAAATGTGAAGAACATCCCAGTAAAATAACAACAGAAGACTAAACCAATGAACAACCCATTTCTAAAACCACAGGACCAAAATACCACCCATACATATTAACCCTGAATGTAAAAGGCTCAAGCTCAATCAATGTCATAGACTAGTAGACTGGATTAAAAAACAAAACTCATTTGTTTGTTGTCTAGAAGAGACACACTTCACCAACAAAAATCAGCAGAAAAATTATCTCATGGGATTTGATGTTTTCAGTTAGTTTCATCTCTTCAAAACTCTTTCTTCTGATTAAATCATTCGATGACTCCTAGGTCGTACAGTGGCATCATTTTCTTCAAGAAGGTTCTTGATTTTCATTTCTTCAGCTACACGCTAGTCACTTAGTAGCATGTTGTTTAACTTCTTGGTATTGTTAATTTCTTTTTTCTTCCTGATGTTGATTTTGTTTTGTGGCTTTTCATTTAAGGGGATGTATTGTAGCTGTGTAATAGAGACTGTCATATCTACTAACATGTTATTTAACTACATGGCATTGTAAATTTCTATTTTTCTTTCTGTTGTTGATTTTGTATTATGAGTTTTCGTTTGAGGGGATGTACAGTAGCTGTGAAACGCAGACTATCATCCAGATGTGAGGTTACAATGCAGCATGCATCTCTACTTCCAGACAAAGATGGACTTACAATGAAACTGTTTACTATATCTTGGCAATAGGATGCTGGACTCTGCCATTGTCCTTACCAGCAATGATGGACATATGACTGTGTGTGAGGAACTATTCTTTAGTAATGATAGAGAGGAACTCGGGGGTGGGGGAAAAGTTGGGGCTGGGATAAGGGAAATATCAGGAGCCTATGGAACTGTATCATAAAATGATAATAATAATAAAATGTAAAAAAAATCAGGAATACGGAAGTGGGATGAAGGAGGCACTCACTGTGTATCTCAAAAAAAAAAAAAAAAAAAAAGGATTAAATTGCAGGCCCAGTGTAGTAGCCTAGTGGCTAATACCCTTGCCTTGCATGCATTAGGATCCCATATGGGTGTTGGTTCATGTCCTGAACATTCCACTTTCCTTCTAGCTCCCTGCCTGTGGGCTGGGAAGGCAGTCAAAGACAGTCCAAGGCCTTGAGGCCCTGCAGCCATGTGGGAGACCCAGAGGAGGCCTCTGGCTCCTGGCTTTGGATCAGCTTAGCTCCTGGTGTTGTGGCCACTTGGGAAGTGAATCAGTGGATGAAAGATCTTTCTCTCTTTCCTTCTCTGTGTGGATCTGCCTTTCCAATGAAAATGGATAAATCTTTTAGAAAGTTATTAAATTGTGTACTTCAAATGGTGGATACATTTATGATTCCTAAATTGTGCCTTAATCATTTGTTTTTAAAAAAATAAAAAACATAAAACATACCCTATGGCCAGAACGATTGAACCAAGTATCAGAAGCGTATGAACAGTATTTAATAAGATTCTGCTTTGTGTGTCTGCAGTGTATAATGCCTGGATGAAGGACCATGGAGGGTCTATTGTCAACATCATCGTCGTTACTAAAAATGGATTTCCAACAGCTGCGTAAGCATTTTTATACTTTCTTCTTGTCTTTGGGGAAAAGTCAAGTGGGAAAACTTCCTTAAATCAAAGTTACTAACTCTTCTACCACTATTTCCTTTTATTAGAACTTTAAATATGTATTTCTAAAATATTCTTCTTTGTGTTGGGATTTCCAGATTTGCCAAGAAAGGAGGATGGAAAGGGGTTGGGCCACCTCTCCACATTAAGCAATTTACTATTATACATAGGACTTCAATACTGCATGGCAACATACCTAATGCTAAAACATCTTCTTTGTTTCTGTGAAATTCCAGTGTAACTAGATGCCTGTATTTTACCTGGCAACTCTAATCCAGTTCTTTCAAGTATCCGCCAGTGTCTGGGGACACTTCTTTGTTCAGTAGGAAAATGAGAGTGATCTGTATTAAATCAGGTTTGGAACCCATAACTATACATCCTTGGTTTTAGATAGGATTCTGGGAGAAAGAGGGGGAGAGAGATGCTTTGTACTTCTCATTAGCCACTGCGTAAGTAAAACGTTTGCTTACTCTGTGCAAATTTTACTGTCCTGCCTTCTTCCTGTATTACTTAGCATAATCTCAGTTATACAGAACAGAGTTGAAACGCAAACGGGTTAAGTAAAAATCTGGGTCCCAGGCCTGGCAGCCTCAGCCTCACCTGAGAACTCTTAGAGCTGCAGATCCTCCACCCCTTCCGGATCTGCAGGAACCACCTGGCCCTCGGGGGCGGGGCCCAGCAGCCTGCTTAGGCAGGCTCTTGGATGCTGGGACACACAGGGCGACTGAGCCAGGGGCCTGGTATGTTCCAATGGCTTCTTCCTCAGGTTCATCCCCGTCTCAGGAAAGCTCTGCCTACATACAGCACAGAAAGAACACGTCAGGCATTAGAAGGCAAACTCACAGGGGCCAAATGCAGAACTGTTGGGACAGTGAGAGGCTTAGGGTGCTGCTCAGATCATGCCAGGAAGTCCCAGAAAAACTTCTCACTAGCTGACCCTGCCTGGATCATGGACGTAACCATCAGCCAGTATGGAAGGAGGGGTGGGGGCTGTCTGATGTGCCTGATCAACCCAAGGAGTGAGGACTTGGGGGTCAGCACCATGTGGACATGGACCAAGAATAGACAAGAGGAGGATGCTCAAATGGAAAACTGGGTGTTGTTAAACAAAGCAGTGAGGAATACAGGGCATGCAAATGGCAGCCCTGGGCTTTCTTCTCCTGTTTTCTCAGCTTCTTTACATATTTGCCCTTCTTAGCATCTTGGGGAAAATGTAGGAGGTTCAGATTGTGGGTTCCTTCCAGCCTTTCTCACTTACATAGGCAGCTACTGTTAGTGGCTTTAACGTGTATCTTTCCCCCACTTTTTAAATGAAAGAAATTGTAGTGTAAGAAAATATTACCCTTTTTAAAAGATTTTTTTTTTTGGTCTTTATTTGAAAGGGTTACAGACAGAAGGAGAGACAGAGAGATCTTCTTTCTGCTGGTTCATTCACCTAATAGCTGCAACAGTTGTAGCTGAGTAGATCTGAAACCAGGCATCAGGAACTTCTTCTGGGTCCTCCATGTGGGTGCAGGGGCTCAAGGCCTTGGGCCATTCTCCGGTACCTTCCTAGGCCATAAATAGGGAGCTGGATGAGAAGTGGAGTAGCTAGGACACGAGCTCATATGGGATGCTGGCGTCAGAGATGAAGGATTTGGTAGCTACAGCATGGTGCCAACCCTTGTAAGTATTATTCTATACTGAGCCATGCCCGAGTGATATAGCCTGGATGTATCTTCTCAACAGTGTGCAGAGATGTCTCGTTTTTTTGTGGCTGTCTAATATACAGCTCTATTCCGGTGGGTGAATGTCTGGTCTGTATCCTAGCTCCTTCACTTCCATCCCGGCTCCGTCCAGCTTCCTGCTGTTGTAGTGGGGAAGCAGCCAGTCATAGCCTGAGTGCTTGGGTGTCTGCTCTTCACTCTACATGGAGCTGTGGATTCCTGGTATCTGTGTGGTCCAGCCCTGGCTGCTGTGGGCAGCTTGAGGGAGTAAACCCATGGTGAGAATCGTAGTCTCTGTCTCTCCCTCAGAATGTGCCTTTCAAATAAATAAATAAACCTTGAAAATAGAAACGCTTAGTACATGGTAGCCACATAAATGATGCCCTGAATTTAAAGATGAAACCAGAACAACAGCAAAAAAGAAAGATCAAAATTACATGCTGGTTGTAAAGACATCCAGGTGGACAACCGATGCCAGCGACGAAGTGACTTGATGAAGACCCCGTACTGATGTCCACCTTCTATCTGCAAATACTTTAAAATTTATGAAGCTTCTGGAGTGTCAAGACATTCTCTTGATAATATATCTAGACATGTAAATTACTGATCTCTTATCATTAAAAATTAATTTTAAAAATAATCACGCATTTGGGGCCAGGATGATGGTGTAGCAGGCTAATTCTCCACCTATTAGTGCCACCTTTGTGTCCTGGCTGCTCCACTTCTGACTCAGCTCCCTGCTTAAGGTCTAGGAAAGCAGACGGGGAAGGCCTAGGTTTTTGGGCACCTGCACCTGTGTGGGAAACTCAGGAGAAGCTCTGGCTCCCAGCTTAGGATCAGCTCAGCTCTGGCCATTGCAGCCATTTAGGGAGTGAATCAAGGGACAGAAGATCTCTTTCTGTGGTTCTTCTTTTTCTATAAAAGTAGCTTTTCAAATAAAAATAATTCTCTAAAAAAATAAGCACACAATTATAATCCTTAAAATTACCTGTTTTCTTGGTTTTCCTCTGTAATAAGGAGTTCTTCAAAATATTCCAATTACGCACATGGTGATTTGGGGTTCTTTTTACAGGTTTATTCAATGTGAGAATTGCTTGGCCATGATTTGGTTAAAATCAAAGGGCTTGGTTCTTTCTCCATGGTTTAGATACAGACTGAATGAGCAATGCAGGAAGCCCACCATGATGGCTCTTGTGCATGTCTGTCAGGGCACCGACACACTTGTCAGCTCAGTTAATGAAATGGTCAACAGAAGCACATTATAGTGTCTATGTTTTGTCTTTAAAGGCACACTGGAGCTGCAAGAGAAGGTGTTTACAACCTCACCAAATCCTTAGCTCTGGAATGGGCCAAGAGTGGCGTGAGGATCAATTGTGTTGCCCCTGTAGGTATACGTTTTATATGAAGTCTGTTGGCAAACTGTGCATTCCTGATTCCAGTTGAGTTCTTGAGAACAGCATCGTAGACTGGTGTATAAACTAGGACTGATTTTAAAAATAGATAAATTCAGAAAATAACTTGCATTACAGATGTATCCTTTGATTTATAAGCAGATTGTCAAGAATGTCAAATTGAGCCTGTGATTCTCAATGCTGACTATGCAAGGATACTTCAGAAGCTCATGGACAAATGGAGTCAAGGATACTGTGTTTTTCATGAACTGTCTGAAGTATCCTCATATTAGAATTATTTGTGAAATACTCAAGAAATAATAATCTCCAAGTTTTACCTCCAAACCATGGGACTAAGCAGCTATGTGCATTTTAAAAAGCAGCCTGGGAAATCAAGTTTGATATCTAGCATTTTGAAGTATGAATTTTCCTACATTATTTAGTCATTGATTGTTACCTCAATAATCTTTTGCTAGGAGAGAGACAGAAATTGAATATCAAAGTTTTAGGGAAGAATTTCTAGGCAAGGATCAATTCTAAGTTAAGATAAAAGTTCTCTGAATCAATATATATGGTAGGGGGAAATGTCAAAATATGGTCAACTTTGGAAGCTCATTTATTTGATAAGCTACAGCCCAAGCCTCAGTTGAGGAACACAGTGACCGTGTGCTCCAAGAGAGACGCTGCATCAGATGTGTCACCTGTCTCGCACGATCTCCTTCCTGGGATGCTCCCTGGTCGCTGCTAAGGGTGTAATGATCCTTGCAAATGGAACTCTGTGAGATGTCTGGAGGTAACCTGTAGGTCTACTTCACAGGGAAACTTAAGCCACTTGAGTGTTAGCATTTGTTGTCCACCTTGATGACTTTACAACTAACATGTCCTTTTGATTCTTTTTGTTGTTGTTCTGCTTTTGTCTTTAAATTTAGGGCACCATTTATTCCCAGACTGCTGCTGACAACTATGGTGAGATAGGACAAGCCATGTTTGAGAGATCCATTCACCGCATCCCAGCTAAGCGACTTGGAGTTCCGGAGGAGGTGACGCCTACTTCTATCCTTGATGAGAATGTTCAGATTTTAGCACTCGGTGTCTTTCGGATGTGATCTGGTTTGGCTGGTAGACACTATTCCCCTCCCTGCCACCAAACCGTTTCTGCTGGGTTTTCCGGCTCCTGGGAGTATCCGGGTTTGTGCCTCCTTGACTCACGGACAAATGCAGTATGAACTGAGAGCAGCAGACCCTTGTTGGAGAGTTGTACTTGGAGGCCACCTAGGACCCTAAGTCACTCAGATGATTCTGGGTAGACTGTGTTCCTTAGCGAGTCGCACTGGGGTGGCCACACAGAAGTCTATGAAACTCAGTTGCTTTGTTTGATGGCAGCAGTACCAATCTTAGCGTGTTGCTGGTTCCGGCATTAGCCTCACCTTTGCTGTAGGAGCATTTGGGAATTGAATCATGGGATGTGACTTTGTTTCTGTCTCCTGTGTTTTTCCACCTGTCTCTAAATAAATAAGTAAATGAATATTTGAAAATTTGAAAGGCAATAAGTTAGCCCTTCTATTCTGTATATGAAAGCAAAGCCATGAAAACTCTTCAGAGAAACTTCAGTGGTAATCCCCAAAGCTGTTTTTTTTTTTTTTAATAATTTGATACATGTTTTTCCATAAATTTACTATGCATGCACTCATGCATACATAGGCACATTTGCTGACCTTTAAAAATAAAACCAGGGGCCTATTTGTTCTTTCTTGTAACTTTCTATACTAGAATCTACTGAGTCATATCCTGTTGTGCGTTTAGGTTGTGTTCTTATCTTGGTGAATCTAGTATCTTTAACACAATTATGTTCCAGAAGTGTTATGTTCTAGAAGTGGAATTCCTGAACTAAAACAGATTTACATATTACGTTTTGTGAGATATTGATAATTCAGACATTTGATGAGCTGTGTTTGTAAGATATTTGGATTTTTACCCTGCAAGCTGAATTGTTTTAGGAAGATTTTAGTCAAGAAAATGTTATGTTGAAAGTTATGTTTTGGATAGAATAGGTTAAAATGTAATTTTGTACCTGAAAAGTAGTGACAGAAAAAAAAATCACTTTACAAATGCCTGCAATGGCGAGGGCTGTGCCAGGCCCCAGTGAGGTGGCTGGAGCCCCACCTGGACCTGGCATGTGGGTGGCAGGGAGCTAGGCACCCAGGCCATCTCCTGCTGTGTTATAGCAGAGTGGGGCCGGAGCTGGAGCCCACACACTGTGCTGTGGGAGGCGGTCCTGGGCAGCATCTTACCAGCTACGTCACATGCCTGCCCCAGGATTCTTCCTTTTGCTTATGTGTATATTGTACCATTTTTATTTGAGAAATCTAGGCTGAACACTTTAAGAAACATTTATTCACTTTAAAATGACAAAAGCCATTATGTGTTAACCAAATATTTGTAAGTGATAGCTACATTGTCCATAGCACAGGAGAATCTTTTTTCTTAACGTTTGTTTTACATTCTTTACAATGTCCCTTGGTGTGGAGCCCAGTAGTCTGAACTCTCAGTTCTGGTCTGCGTTCAAGGTGAGACAAAGCAGATGAGGAAATGCAGATTCCCACTCGGTTGGTTGGGAGGAGGAAAGCCCTTGGCAGTTCTGATCACCCTGTACTATCTCATGTTTGTCTTAGACATGAGCTAGTAGAATTCGGAGCTGCGTCGGTGAGCTCTCTGTGTTGTGTTGCGTCCAAAGCTCTCACACTGTGGCCCTTTCGTTCATACACGATTTTATGTCATGGGACCTTGATGTTTTGGAAAATACTGCTTCACTGAAATAAGCAAATGCTCTCCACATTGACACAGAATTAATTCCACAATATCGGAAGGTCCCGTTTGGTATATTTCTGTTGATTCGGGTATCTGGAAGCCATGGGACAGGGTAATTTTCCAAAATCCTTGTTTTCAATTGAAGGTTCCCGTGTTATCATTGGCAGCATACAGTGTTAGTTATTTTCCTTCGATATGACAGTCTCACGTGGTTTGTTTTTGAAAAAAAAAAAAACAAACTTGCAGAGTACCCAAGTATGAAGAACTTTAGTTTCAGACATTCTTTTAAGTAAAAATACCATGAAAAGGATGGTCACTTTGGCTCTCCGCTCAGTCACATTCCCTTGTCCTTCAAACAACCACTGTGCTCATTTGTGCTGCACAAGAATTCTGGGTGGATGAGGCTTACATTGCATCACACAGAAGGCTCAGTAGATGGGTACTTAGGCTCAGGAGTCAAGACAAGCCAGTCCACCAAGCATGTCCCAAAGAGGGACGAGTGTTCTCCAGCATGGCACTTGCTGGCAAAGTGTGGTTTTATGTTCCTGGCACAGGTCATACCCAGCAGCTCTGTTCAGCTTTCCACAAGCGACACAATGAAAAACATGATTAAGGATTTAATTTTGTTAGGAAAATAGTTTTGACCTTGAGCCCTCACCCACCACTCTTCAAAGGCCTTGGGGCTGCCCAGGTGTGGCCCCACAGCACCTGGGCAGATGCTGCCACAGGTCATTCTTTCATGAGTGAGAGAGAACGGGTCACACCATGACATGCAGAGTAAGGGCAGCGCTTTGGCCTCTGCCTGTCACAGTCTGTAGATTGGCACAACTTTCCTAGTTGGCCAGGGGCTGGCCTGCTTATCCCAGGGTTGCCACGTTTGAAGTGACCGTTGCTGGAGCGAGAGTTAGGACGGCCAGGTGTTTAGCATCGGTGTCCTTTTAAGAAACTTGGCTTCTACCGGTAGCTTCACGTGACAATTGCTTTACATTTCTATGAAATGACTTCTCCTTTCCTGTTTGGATTTCAGAGTACACAGTGCCGAACTCACCAATGAACTATTCAAATTGTTAAGGGATCTACTGAGATTCCGAGTCCCTTTTTGTGCAATGCTCTTGTGGTGTGTGCTGCTTGGCTGACAGGACCATGAGCTAAACAAATCCCAGTGCCAACGTATCAGTACACAGGCACACTGACTATTTCAGTGACATGCAGGGAGCAGTGATGGGACGGGAAAGGCGTCCGAGGGACTGGACTGGGATGCAGAAGGGGACACTGAGGCCTTAGTTTGTCTGTGACTTCTTTACCCGAGTGTAGTTTGACCCTGGATGGGGCTCCTCCCTGGCTTACCTCCTGTGTCCCAGGCACGCATTTGATTTCAGTGATGCTGCATCAGAACGGAGGTGACAGGTGTTGGGTGATGGTGCACATGCGCAGGTATCATGAGATGCCCTGATGTGGGACTAGGAATGGAGATTGTTTTTGCTTTCAGGTATTCATGCGTGTGTCTCTGCTTTCAGATCTCCTCTGTGGTGTGCTTCCTGCTGTCTCCTGCAGCTTCCTACATCACTGGGCAGTTGGTAGATGTGGATGGGGGTCAGTCTCTGTACAGCCACTCCTTTGAGGTTCCGGGTGAGTAACCAAGGATGAGCACCCGCTACTTTTATGACTTGTCATATTCAAGTTCAAACTCTTAAGTCGCTATTCAAAAGATTTAGTGCTTTCCCTTTTTTTTAAATGTTTTTTGGGGAAGTGATGTACATGTGCCTTTTAAGAATAAACTGTTACCTGACAAGGGGTGGGGCTATGCAGCCTTTTGGCATTGCACTGGCTCCACAGCGGGATTGTCTAACAGACACACTTGGCTCTGCCCTTGTTAGCTGGGTGACATTCTGTCTTCTTTTCCGCCACATGGGAACACCTATAGTATTTATTTCATGGGATTTTTGGGAGGATGAATTCTGGTTTGTAGCTGTAGAGCTCAGTGTCAAAGAATGTGCTTACTTGCTGTTCGAAATGGCCTAAACAACGCAGAAGTGTGTTACCTGGACACCTGTAAAGGGTGTGACACTTCACTCTCACAGATAACTTTTCCCCTTCATTCTTCTTTTTTTTGCTCCCATCATGTTGACTTTAGTTTAAAGCTGGCTGCAAGGTACCTGCCTGCTGCCCATCAGATGAAGTACTTCCTATCCCCTGGCACACCGAGAGGGGAGGAGACTGGCTTTGTTCCATGATTTCCAACTAAGTGACAGACAAGTTTCTGCAGATGTCATCTCAGCCAGTAACAGAGCGAGAGAATCGGTGGCACCTGCCAACTTAGGTCACATAGTTCCGACTGTGCCAGGAGAGGGTCACTTCCCCTATGTCCTTCAAGTGGAAATAGGCTATTGGAAAGAGGAAATGGGGAACTGGAAAGATGGCTGGGCAGACGACTGGTACAGCTGGAGGAGAGGTGGCACATTTTTGAAAGGTTATTAAGGAAGTGCCAAGTATCTCCAGTGTGTGCCAAGCACTGTACATATGGTGTCACTTTAGAAGATCCCTTTAAAGGGCAGATGCTGCTGTACCCATTGATGGGTTAGAAAACTGGAGCCTTGGGAAGAGTAACTTCCCAAACTCAGAAAGGATGGCGAATGGCAGTGCTGGGACTGTGCCTTCCGGGCAGGAGATTTCTGTTCTTGCTGCAGAGACGGATGAGTCAGGGGAAGCAGCAGGGCACCTGGGGAACAAGGACAGTGGAGGGTCACAGAATCACGTGTGCCCTGCACATTTCCTCCTTCTTACAGATCATGACAACTGGCCTGACGGAGTGGGAGACCTTTCTACCGTGAAAAGGATGAAAAAGTCTTTTAAGCAGAAAGCCAATCTCTGACCCGAGGATGCCAAGTGTCTAGTTTCAAGTGCCTTCACATCTTGTGCCTTTGGAAGAACTTATGATTTGCATGAGAAAATAATTCCTGTTTTTCAATGTTTCAATTATAACTGTGCATAAATTATCCCCAAATACATTTTCTCAGATCCTAAACAATGTGACTGGTAACCCCTGGCTTAACAGTTTTAGGAACCCTCAAATTAGCATACTTAAACTGATTATGTTAAGGTAATATGAAAATGAAGATTCAAATGATTGGAGGGACCATGAACTTCCAGAGGATTTTAATGCTTCACTGTAAATTTAGAAACTATATGTGAATTGTGCCATCATGCTAATTGTTACAACTAGAATTCTACAATGACTTATTTTTGATGGCGAATGTCTCGGTGAGATCAGTAATGTTCTCTTTCATGATCATTAGCAAAGTGTAGATTGTTTTGTCCCTGACGTCAAATTGGTATTAAACTCTGAATTCAAAGAAAAACTGAAGTTATGAGTCGTAATATTTTTCTTGCAGTGCTCGATGTTTGGTTTGACCTTTTTAAAATATTTAGTAACTTTTTATTGATTATTGCAATGTCTTGAAACTATCAAATGCCTCACATATATTATTCTTCATTTTTTTTAGATAGAAAGGTCAAATTAATCTTTCTACAGAAGTGATATTTATTTATTTATTTATTTATTTTCTCTTCTAGTTTGTTTTTAAGTTTTGCTACAATTCCATAGGCTCTGGGATTTCCTCTCCCCATATTTCCTCACCCTAATTTGTTTCCCCCACATTATTACAATAGTGTAATACTTCATAAGCAGTCGTAAGTCCATCATTCTGCTATTTAAGTGTATCCTGACATGCAGGTATAGACAGTGGCGGACAGCCCAGCATCCTATTGTCAAGACATAGCCAGCAGTTTCATTGGGAGTCCATCTTTGATTTGGAAGTAGAGATGCATACTGCATTGTATCTTTACAACTGGGTACAATAGTCTCCATTATGCAGTTACTATACATTCCCTTAAATGAAAAGCCATGAAACAGATCCACAACAGGAATAAAGATAAAACAACAGATTTATAGCACTGTGGCGTTAAGTAACATGCTACTGAATAGCCAATGTGTTGATGAAGAAATGAAAAAAAAAAAAACTTCTTGAAGAAAACAATGTTACTGTATGACCTGAGTCAGTGAAGAAGTTAGTAAGAAAAAAAATAAGAAAATAAAAACAAAATATCGCTAAAAGGGAAGTTCTCCTGTAACAGGTTCGAAGGGTTGCTAGGTGGTTAGGGGTTCCTGCCTGGGAGAAGGGGGTATGAGGAGGCAGTGAGAGAAGTGCCTGGTAGAGAGGCAGGAGAGGGTGGGTTGCTTAGGAGATCCGGCCACATCACACAGCAGCGTGCCTCAAGGGCCTCGCAAGCCATCAGGCTCTTGTCACCTTTCTTCACTGCGAGATCAGCAATGGTTATCAACTGTCACATTTCTCAAGTGGTCAGCAAGGCCGCCGCTTCTCAAGAGACACACACAAAAAACCAGAATAAACCTCTGACGAAATGAAGCTATTGAAGCACTGATCAACTTATATGCACTCCCTGTATAAGCTCCTGCACCCAGACCTGGCCATCACCCTCCTTCGGGTCCTCTCCTGGTTGGTGGGATTCTTGCCTCTCAATAAAATCCACTTATGCTGTTGCTTACCCAGCCTCATTGTCTACGTCATCAAACCACCCCGTAAAATTAAAGTTCTTGTAACATGAAATGCTACAATGGGTAAGGCTGTGGTGCTGAAGACTTACAAAAGGAAGATACCTGGAGGGATGCAAAAACAGTTCCACAGTTATTCATATCACAGCACTTTTATGGAGAGAGATGACCTGGGTGGAGGAGGGCGGGCTCACACACTGCTCTGTAGACGGTCAAGGCGTCTAAGAAGCAGATGCATGACCCTGTGGGAGATGCCCAGGAGACTTCCTGGACAAAACCCTCGTGGAGGATCGGAGCACTCAGTGGGTCATTGGCAATGAGTGGGACGAGCCGGGGACAGCGCATGCCTCAGGTCACTGCACAGGTGCGCGTTGCCATGTGCGTGCACCCATGTCTTCAGTGTGGGTCACGGGGAGTCCACCTGTGCTGTCCCCTGCTGGTGGCAGTGCCTGGTTCTCTCCAGCTGGTGTCTGGGCAAAGGAAATCCAGTCAACCTTGCAGGACCCACGGCTGCGTTTCTGTAAGATGTTGGCTTGCTGCGTCCCCTAACACAAGATCTCCAAAGTCACTCGTTTCTGCTACCCCTTCCCCTCCCCCCCCCATCCCATTACCCACGGTAGAACACGGGGAGTGGCGGAAAGTAGGGCCATGCCTGTTTGCATCTGTTGGTTCCTGGATGCTCCCAAACCCGGTGCAGACAGGCATCCTGAAAGCTGGCACTCGGCTGCTCCTTGGAGACTGTAGCCCTGTGTGAGGTCGGCTGCCTTCAAGTCCGCTCCCCGGGAACTGGCACCGAGCTGGGTGGTGCACTCTGGGGATTCTGTGCCTGAGGGAGGCCTTTCCTGAAGGCCCCGACGAACGGAAAGGCGAACTCTGAGATGGGCCCAGAGCCCACACCATCACACGCACAAGGGAAGTTAATTATAAATAGTGGAGTAATGAGGGCTTGGCCAGAAGGAAGTGAACTCTGAAGAACCGCAAGGTTACCGGGCAGAGAAGCAACCGCGGAGCTCTTCCCAGCGCGCTTCGGGCGCCACCTTGTGGTCACTCCTGGAACGCCCGCTTCGCCGGGCAATGCCTTCCACACACCTGCTGTAACAGCTGCTTCTGCATGAGCTTTAGTTGCTTTCAATATTTTTGTTTGTTTGTTTCTTTTTTTTTTAAAGATTTATTTATTTTTACTGCAAAGTCAGAGAGGAAGATTCACTCCCCAAGCGGCCACAACGGCTGGAGCTGAGCCGATCCGAAGCCAGCGGCCTGAGCCTCTTCCAGGTCTCCCACGCGGGTGCAGGGTCCCAAGGCTTTGGGCCGTCTTCAACTGCTTTCCCAGGCCACAAGCAGAGGAAATGGGGTGGCCGGGGTTAGAACCTGCGCCCATATGGGATTCCGGCACGTTCAAGTCAAGGACTTTAGCCACTAGGCTACCGCGCCAGACCCTTTTCATTTCTTGTTTATACAGTATACACCACACAAGAAAATCATTCAGATCAAAATACATGACTTATCACCACCCTGTGTTTAAAAACAGCCCAAAGGGTGAAGGTTAATGAGATGGAGCCCGCGGCCGCAAGCCAGAGGCATGCGTATGTGTGTATGTGTGTGTGGGGGGTTGTTGTTTCGGGGAGTTTTGCTGGCGGTGTGTGGAGCACAGCTGGACTTTTCCCTGCGGAAGCAGCTGGTGCAGGCGCGGCTGGCCATCTGGGTGGCACTGTCTGCGGTGGCCCTCCCCGTCTCTGGAGAACAAACCCTGTCCCTGTCTCCCTCCATGGGGACTGACTCTGTCTCAACCCGGGCTGGCCACCACTCAGTCCAGAGCACTTTCCCACCCAAGCTAGGGAGCTTGGGTGCTATAGCCTGGCCTGCCTGCCCCCAGTTCCAGCCTGCGCTGGAGGGTGCCGCCATGCAACCTGGCCCAGCCAGCCTTCAGTCCTGGCCCTAATGCTTACTGACTGGTACTGTGGACCAACCCAGCCTGTCCGGCACCCTGCTGTGGTTCATCAGATTTGCCATGGGTGCTATGAACTGACCCAGCCTGGCCCACCCCCAGGCCTGAGCCACACATATGTCAGTGGTACTGTAACCTGGCCTGGTCTGAGCTGCTCTTTGCCTTAGTTCTTGAGCTCACCTGCAGGGACTGCCTCCTGACAAAAGGGTTCTCCAAGTTCCTCTATCAGATCTCCTCCCAGCAGCAGATCGCGTGCACACCGGCGGGTCCTTGTCCCAGACTCACTTTGTCCACCTCCCTCAGTGCCAGGAACAGTGGCCTTGCCCAACTGGCTCATACCCATTCTGGTTCTTGCTTTTGGGAGCTGCCACCCAGCCACACCTGGTCTGCACTAGACACGGCTCTCATGTGGTTCAGCACCCCAAGGTAAATGCTGAGGTGAGAAGAGCCATGCCAGACTGGTTCACAGCACCCACCAGCATATGCAAGACCTGCTGGGGAGGGGGTGTGAACCTGGTAGGGGAGCAGTGAGGACTCTCCTGCTGGGCCACTGCTCCTGTTAGTGAGCATGAGAGCTGGGACTGGGGGCAGACCAGGCTGGGCAGGACTACAACACCTTTTGACCTGCATGTGGACTGGGATGGGGAAGAGCTAGGCTGTGCTGAGTGTATTCATCGGTGCAGGCGTGAGCCAGAGTAAGGGCAGGCTGGCTGGGCTTTGCCCCATCATCAGCTGGCAAGTGCAGGGACAGGGGGCAGGTCCTGCTGAACTAGACTGCAGAACTACCTGGAGAGTGCAAGATCCAGGTCTGAGAGAGGGTCCAGTAGGGAAACTGTGGGCTCCCCTCTGATGGGCTGCAGCTCCCACTAGCGTGCATGAGATTCAGAACTTGGGGTGGGCCTGGCTAGACAGGCAGTCCTGCTGGTGTGAGTGTGGGCTGGAGGGTGGAGTGGATTGGGATAAGTTTGGCTTTAATGCCCAATTATGTATACGAGAGCTGATGAGAGCTGATAGGGAGGTGGGACAGACTGGACCAGTCCTCTGCATATGCTGGCAGACATAGAAATTGGGGCCAGGGCCCAGCCCAGTAGGGGTTATTGGGGGTCACTCTGCAGCTCCTGATGATGTATGTGAGGGCTGACTGTGTGGAGAACAGCGTTGAGCTGGGCTTTAGTGTCCACTGGTTTGCATAAGATATGACTAGAGATAGATCTGACTTAGCAATTGCAATTACCGGTGTGGATGCAGGCTGATGGGGTTGATGGACAAAGCTGGACCCCCTGCTGATGGGCGTACACAAGAGTCAGGTCTGGGATCACCTCAGACGAGATTTCTTTGAGCTCCCCCCTCCAACTAAACTGCTGAACTCAAAGTGCCAACCATGGGGAGAGTGGCACGACCTGTGGTCTGACAACGGGGTGCTTGTGACAAAACTAGCCACCTCCCCAGTGGCTTTGGCAGAGCACTGGATGACATACCTGGAGGCACAGGGAGGATCTGGGAGTCCACTGGCGCCTGCAGAAGACACCTAGCACCACAGCAGAGGAAGGAGGGCAGAAGAAATTGGTCAACTACCCCAATGAAGCATGACAGCACATATCTAAGCAGATGCAGACTCTAGGTGGACTGTGTCAGCCAGTGGACCTTGGAAGGATCGCCTCATCCTTGGATCAGCGAGAGCGACAGCATTTCAGAACTATCGAAACCACTTGAACAGACCACTGGCTCATGCTCCACCTCGGGGACTTTGGGATGACACTGGCTGGTTGTTCCCCATCCCCGGGTGCTCAGGTGGTTGGGAGGCTGGGTGTGGCTTGTCCCTTCTCTCTTCCTTTCCCCCA